GCAGTCCATTGAGTGTTCAATGCTAATGTTGTGCATAGCATCATCTACTGATGGGTAATCTCCTTTATCCTCAACCTGAGTAAAGTATGAAATAGGGGGGAATTATTTACTCTAAGTACCACACTGATGCAGTCTCACCAGCAAACTCATTACACATCTGAAATAATTTTGTCAACATTTGATGTAGATTAGATAAAATGACAGTACATGTACTGGGAGGGAAATTATTATTTAAACTTCAAGCAGTTCCCTGTTTTTTGCTAAGAACATTGCAAAGTATAAAAAGTCAATTAAAAGAAATTGAACAATTTTAATTTTTGCTTCACTTTAAGGTTCACATAACCTTTATTTGACATTAAACATTAAAACCTATACTGTCATTAAAATGGTACCTTAAATATGTGTGTAACAAACATTTTTAAAATTCTGACATCACCTTTTTTCTGCCATGTTTGTAACTATGTAAAGATCCTTCTTCATAATCTTTAGGTGAAATGTAGGCTGAATCTTTTTCAAAATCTTTTTTTGAACTTTTATCTGTGTCTTTTTGTCTTAGCTTTTCTTGCTGCATAGACATTTTTCTTGCAAGATCATCTTCTTGTGTAAAGAGTTTCTCTGCAACAATCTTTGCCACATCTTTAGAACATTCCAACAGTCCTAGTTTATTCTCACCAATGGACTGCCAGTTCCTTGCAGCTTGGTCAACATCAATTTCACACTGTGAAGGATCCACTTCAATCCCCTCAGTGCTCTGTTCTTCAGAGTCAAATGGAAGGCCTAAGAGACTCTTCTTCAAACTGGTTTTACCAGCTCGATCCTGACCAATGAGTAATATTCTGCCACGGTAAACTGTGACATATCCATCTTGCAAAGCCCTTTCGTAAGCCAGCTGTGCTTTGAGTCTATCTCTTGTTGGGCCTAATAAGAAAAAGTTTCACAAAACAAAGAAAAAAGTAGTTTGAACATTGATAAATTTGTAAAAATTATTGAAAAAAAAGCAAACTAAAGGTAAAGGTTGACAAATCAACTACCATAAATGCCTAACATGAATAATGTTGGAGTTAAAGGTTGGTATACATGAACTTAACCATCAAAATTGTGTTTTTTTTTCTGACCTTAATGCATTTTTTCCACTCGTACATAAAAAGTTACACAGTCAATCAAAATAATTCATCTGGCATAAAATGTAGTGATGTGTTTGGTGAACATGCACACCAAGACTAAACTGACTCGATGTTTTACAACATTAAGAATTAGAACCACTTATGACTGATCACACATAAGAGAGGTAATGACTTACATCAATTCTGTCAAACAGTAAGGAGTCAATAACCAATTCGTTGTTTGTGAAATAAAGATAAAAAGCGCATATTACCAGAGTGTAACAACTGTAAGTTTATAGAAAGATTACGCAGACAACACCAGTGTAAATTATATGGAAATAATAATCAGATTTCAGTCAGGCTAAAAAACAACTTCAAGTTTTATCCTTGTAACTTAGTCCACAATTTATATTAGTTTATAAATTTTGTCTGATAAGCCAAAAGTTATTAAATTTTTAAACACTTTCAATGAATCAAATAGAAAGCAAAAATAAAACAACATTTCCTAACAGTGAAATGACTTATGAAACATTTTAGCCTTTCATAATTCCAGTCAAATAGAGAGCAAACCTCGAAAGAAGAATTCCTAACTGCATAGAATGATTTGTAACAACATTTACTCTCTTGATTCCTCATCAAATCATATTTTCTTATTAATGAACTTAAATTTCAATGTCAGCCAAATTGTTAAGTAAAACTTTTCAGCATATAAAACTTCTAATACATGTATTTCTTAAGTGATGCCAACATTGTTAAATCATACAGTAACTGTGACAGTATTTACTTCAGGCTTTATTGTGTAACTATTGCCAGCTGCCTGTAATAATCAGTAACAAGCAGAATAACCACTTGCAAGTCAATCATTAGAACCAATTTAGTAAATGCACATGTCACAACACCAGTGTGAACAGAAATTTCCTTTACTCACCTCGGAGATCTGAATATACTCGGTTAATTATTCTTCTATCATCTAGCTCCATAACACTTCTCATTCCTTCAACTGTAAAAGGATTCCCATTTACAAACAACGATTGGAGTTTCTTCAGCTGTTTTATGGCTGGATTTAACACAGTCAACTGGTTGTAACTCAGATCCAGTACCTCCAGTGCCACCATCTCACCAATAGCATCAGGGATGGTGGTTAGTTTGTTATGTGAGATGTTCAGCCATTTGAGTTTCTTCAGCTGTTTTATAGCTGGACTCAACACAGTCAACTGGTTGGAACTCAGATCCAGTCCCTCCAGTGCCACCATCTCACCAATAGCATCAGAGATGGTGGTTAGTTTGTTATGTGAGATGTAAAGCCATTTTAGTTTTTTCACCTGTTTTATAGCTGGACTCAACAAAGTCAACTGGTTGGAACTCAGATCCAGTCTCTCCAGTGCCACCATCTCACCAATAGCATCAGGAATGGTGGTTAGTTTATTATGTGAGATATCCAGCCATTTGATTTTCTTCAGCTGTTTTATAGCTGGACTCAACACAGTCAACTGATTGTAACTCATTTCCATTCTCTCCAGCCCCACCATCTCCCCAATAGCATCAGGGATGGTGGTTAGCTTGTTATGTGAGATGTACAGCCGTTTGAGTTTCTTCAGCTGTGTCAAACTTGCAGGGAATATGGACAGCTGGTTTCCGCTTACATCAAGTACCGTAATATTATTTAGTTTTCCAACATTTTCAGGTATTGTTTTAAGTTTATTCCGTGACAGGTTAAGTTTCTCCAACTCAGTTAATTCCTGCACCGCTTCAGGCAATTCAAGCAAATCCCACTCTGACAGATTTAATGTTTTTCTTCCGAAATGATCTGTTACAATCTTACTTCTCAAGTTTTCTTTAGAAATATGGGAATCCATGTCTTAGTAATGTAACTGTCAGAACAAAAAAAACAAGCTGTCATTAAAGGTGAGTAACTTGAACTAACTTTCTTGTGGCATTTATAATAACAATCGAACCAAAAATTGGCAAGAATGAGGTTTATAATTTAACATCTACTGAACCAAGGTAATGATTTATTCCTCGTAATACATTATCTTTGGAAACCATCCACCCTTCAGTGTTCTTTTAAACATTTTGAGTAAAGGACCGGATGCTTATGCGTAAAGGCTCTTGAGTTATTTATTTTCATCAGAAACATTTCAACTTAAATCTAATTGTATAATTTTTGTGTTCATAAACAATTGCTTGAGTTATAGATGTTAACGAAAAGGCAATTATGAACAAGAAAGATATTTGAATTTAAATACACTGAGTTTTCCAAGCTGTTTTTCCAAAAACATACGAATTACTACTTCCATTTCAAAATTAATATCCAACAGGAAAGAAATAATTAGTGCAAATCTATGGTTGGTTTTGTTTTCATGTGATAACCTAAGACAGTTGTAAATAAACCAAAGCATGAATGATTTCTAAGCTGTAGATATCAGACCAAGTTGCTAATTTTCAGACCTGTTGTTTGATTTTATCCTCTGTAAGCTATTTTTACTTGCAATTAACAGAGTGAATTCATCAGAATATGGTCCTAGTCATTTAATAAAGACTGATTGGATAAGTCCTTCTCACTGACATATTCACTGTTTTGATACAAAAATAATCAGAATGAGAGCTCTTTGTTTTGTTTGATTTTTTTTTTACAGAGTTTGTCTAGCAGCATGATGGTTTTAAGATTACAATTTTCAATTGAAGACATGTTTTGCATGAAATATCATCCAAATCACCCATAGTTGCTGTACTCATTATGTTATGTATTGAATGTTGTTGATGAAATAAAAAAATAACAAAGAGTAGAGAAAACTGGTTTTAATTTCTTATTCATGTTTATCAATAAAAGCTTAACTAAGAAGGGAATGTGAAAAGAAAAAGTATATATCAATTAACTGAGGATAGTGATAAAGAACTCAATTGGTACTAAGCAGAAAAATGAGGAATTGAAAAAAGTGTCCATAATTAGAACTGGCCACCTACGAGAGTGTCCATTAGCAGAGAGTTGACTGTAAAATAAATTAAGATCCTTCATTAATTAACAAATCTATCAAGGACTGTCTCCAAATCTTTACAAATTGTGCCTGGTTTCTTGAATATTTAATTTTCAGCAAAATGAATTCAAGTTAAAAATTTTACAACTGCAATCATTAACCAACATCAAAACTCATGTATAACATATTTATTTAACCCTTCACCTTGCATGAGTGACCAATACAGGAATTCTCCTTACAAAATATCAACACAACATCAAGCAGATATTGTAAGTGATATGAACAAAGGAAAATATCAGTTAGAGGATTATTAGATGATCCAATACCAAATTCTCCAAACTTACATCATAAGAATGGTATGGCAAACAGTAGGGAGAATTACTAAAGAGATCTTGGGAGTGAAAGGGTCAAGGGAATGAGAGTGTTTACCTAAGAACAAAATGATTCATGTCCCCAAATATGTACTGAATGTATTTGTTGCTTTCTTAAACGAACAAGTAATGGTTAAAAAAAACTCAGGGTTGACTTGAAAAAAAAAAACCCAACAATTTTGAAACCATGGATCTTTAATATTGGCGACCCCCTCTCAGTGCAATAAAAAAATAATCCTTACTTCCTTTTCAGGGCTTAATAATTTTCAAATATCAGTATTTAAAAATGTTGAGGAGGAAAAACTTTTATCTGAAAATATAACTTTTCATCTGTTAATCAAAACTATAACAAAATTCTTCAACATGATTGGTTATCACCAGCCCAATTTGAGCACCTATAGTACAGTGTATGTGTCATGCTTGTAATTAGACAGTGTAATAGAACAGTTAAAGGGACAATTAACATGTCATGCCTGTGGAAGTGGAAAGAACGCATCATGTGCACACACTGTTGTCCTGCATTTTGCTGAGTTAATTGTTGTTGTTGTTGTTTTTTATGAAAATGTATAAATGTATAATGGATGTCTAGTTTCTTTCTCCAATTTTGTTATATTGTGATTAATTGATAACAGTCGTCTTATTTGTTAATCAAGAATATTATTACAAACAGAATTGGACAACAGGAAGTCCGGTGAACAACCATGGCAGAAACATGGATGACCATGGTCTATCCATGGTCTTGACGCCGGAGTAATAAGCGATTATTGAATGAGGTTGAGCATGATGTCAAAAACTGAATGAAATAATTGTTTTATTATAATTTTTGAGGCATTCAGCTATTTTGAGCATCTCTCTAGGTTTGCAAAAGGTTGAGAACACTAAACTCTAAGGTCTTGGAAACTAGGCAGACATTGATCTCGAGAAGATAAATGCAGTATAAGCCTCAGATATTGCATTTTATCATGTCAACTTCACACACTATTGTATATTGATTGAATGCTCATGACCAATCAGCTTTTTCATTGTAAATCTTATGTATAATGATCAAAATTATTGAATATGTACAGGAAAGTTTTTGTTCTTTTCGCAAACAAGAGACAACTGGCCATTTAATACTGGAATTGAAATTTTTTGGCTTGAAATGCACATTAAAAGTATGATGTGGTTACTTATACATCTTACTGAGAACGATTGTTAATGAATCACAAACAACTGAGCTCAAAGGTTTCTAAGAATTTGAATTGCATGTATCTTTTCATTGTCAGAGTTTCCCCAGCCATACCCCTTTGATAAACTCAGTCACATAAGAATATTTGGCCTTTTCACACATCACAAAAATATCAAAGTTTTTTCACGCTCACGCATTTGAGACATTTCACATGAAAGTAAAAAGCCGAATTCCCTAACTAAATTTTCAATTTTCCTAGTCTTGACGAGTTTTAAATAACAAATGATGACAGAATGTCTTACATTATTTGTTCAAGGACCATTAGAGGTCTGGTTTATGACTTTTATTGATCCATATAAAGTTCATGTCCTGTTCAAACCCAGGTCAAAACTAAACCACAACCGTTCTTGAACAATTCATTTTCAAAACAATTAAAAAGCCGGGAATTCATCACGGAAAACAAAATGGTTCACGAGTCACGTTTAATTCAGTTCTTCACACACGAGTCACGTTTAAATAAAAAAAATTACTTCACGCGAACATGAAAAAATCTTATTATCTCTAATCACGATTCACGAATAAGGAAAAATTCAGATCACGATCCACGAGGAAAAAAACTCGCCCAAGCATGCTTCACGTAAAAAGGATAGGGGCCCTCTTGTCAATCACGGAAGCAGACAGCGAGCAAGTTTTATTTATTTCATCAAATACCTGACATACCTGCATTTAGATCATGCATTAATTTGGTTACTTAACAGATTTAAGAGGTTTTGAGTTCGTTTCTAACTTCTGCCAGATAAAATCAAGTACAATCCATGGAATTAAGCGAGTATTTTGTCATCAGTTCAAACACTTCCATTGCTTAACGTGAAAAACTGAAAACTAATCGACGTTGAACAACTACCAGACAGAATGATTAACGATCAGAGCTGATTGACGTCAGCACTAGCAGAAATAGTTTGTCCCCTAACTCTTTCCATTCTTATGAGAATCTTCTATCAAAACTTTCCGTTAAGGCCATCTTTACTCACAATCACTGTTTTCCTTTTCCCTGTTGCTGAGAGTGTATAACTTTAACCCGTCAGTTTCAGAAGGCCGACTGAACGCGCCTTTGTTTTACTTTATCAAAATCGTTTTGTCTTTGTGCTCTGCATTTGACAGGCGTCGCTAAAGTTGTAATATATCAAAAACCCATAACTTTAAATACAAAGGGAAACCAGCGAATATTGAAGATATCAGAGAGTTTGAGTGAACTGACAGAAATGACGGCTGAAGCACTTCAAGGGAAATGACTTCAGTTCGATCGAGCGGAGAGTGTGAGTTCTTAGCTGAATTATCTACGTTCGATTTGCAGGAATCTAGTGAGGCTACACTTTACAAATGAGCTAAATTCTTATCTATATTGAACATAATTCTTACCTGTTAGCAAAGCAAATAACAAGTGCAGAGAACAAATAGCAATCAAATACGGATTGTAGACAATCTAACTGCTCGGATCAGTAGGGACACTCCTTAATTAACTTCCACAAAATACTTCAGGCTTCTGAAACGTCACGCGACTAAGGGCCTGTTTATATGGAGTTACCATGCCGAAAAGAGCATGACGCATAAATTATGACTGATTATGCAAAAAGTTGCACTATTTATTTGTCACCTTCGCACTCGCACAGCACGCACGCCCATGCAATTAGCATAAGCACGAGCACCGCACTCTGTATACATTATAATGATTTCGTAATGAATAAAAGTTATCAGTCTTAACATGGAACTAAGCAAGTAACATGGTGGAAGCGGTTCTGGTTGATTATTTCTCAACGGATATTTGCATATAGCGATCTACAAGCCAAGTTTTCTCCGGTTTAAACCAAGATGACTTCGAACACACCGTTTCCAGAATTCAAAACAACGGGAGATGAAAAGCACACCTGGAAACCTACATCGAAGTTTTGATAGATTACTGCGTAGTGCAGAATTGGTACGAAACATCGAAAGAAAGTGAAGCAGCCAAGTGGACGAATCACGATTCACGAATAAGGAAAAAATCAAATCACGATCCACGAGGAAAAAAATTGCCCAAGGATGCTTTGCGTAAAAAGTATAGGGAACCCTCTTGTCAATCACGGAGGCAGATAGCGAGCAAGTTAAATTTATTTTATCAAACACCTGACATACCTGTATTTGAATCAAATCAATCAAGCATTAATTTGGTTAATTTACAGATTTAAGAGGTTTTGAGCTCGTTTCTAACTTTTGTCAGATGAAATTAGCTACAATCCATGGAATTAAGCGAGTATTTTGACATCAGTTCAAACACTTCTATTGCTTAACGTGAAAAACTGAAAACTGATCGATGTTGAATAAGTACCAGAGAGAATGATTAACGATCAGAGCTGATTGACATCAGCACGGTCATAAACAGTTTGTTGCTTTATTCTTTCCATTCCAACGAGAATCTTCTTTCAAAACTTCCCGTTAAGGCCATCTTAACTTACAATCACTGATTTCCTTTTCCCTGTTGCTGAGAGTGTTTAACTTTCACCCGTCTGTTGCAGAAAGGACTGAACGCGCCTTTGTTTTACTTTATCAAAATCGTTTTGAGTATTTGTGCTCAGCATTTGACGGGCGTCACTAAAGTTGTACTAGATCAAAAACCCAAAAACTTAAAATACAAAGGGAAACCAGCGAATATTGAAGACATCAGAGAGTTTGAGTGAACTGACAGAAATGACGGCAGAAGCACTTCAAGGGAAATGACTTCAGTTCGATCGAGCGGAGAGTGTTAGTTCTAAGCTGAATCGTCTCTGTTCGCGTTGCAGGAGTCTAGCGAGCATACACTTTACAAGGAAGCTAACGTCTTATCTATATTGAACATAATTCTTACCTCTTAGCAATGTGAACAACAACTGCAGCGACAAATAGAAATAAAATACAGATTGTTGAAAATCTAACCGCTCGGATAAGTATGGACACTCCTTAATTAACTTCCACAAAAATACTTCAGGCCTCTCAAACGTCACGCGACCTGCAAGGGCCTGTTTACATGGAGTTACCATGCCGAAAAGAGCATAACGCATAAATAATGACCGATTATACAAAATAAATGGCTAAATTCTTATCTATATTGAACATAATTCTTACCTCTTAGCAATGTGAACAACAACTGCAGCGGACAAATAGAAATGAAATACAGATGGTAGACAATGTAACCGCGCGGATCGGTATGGACACTCCTTAATTAAGGGCCTGTTTACATGGAGTTACCATGCCGGAAAGAGCATGACGCATAAATAATGACTGATTATGCAAAAAGTTGCGCTATGTAATTGTCACCATCGCACTCGCACAGCACGCACACCTATGCGATTAGTATAAGCACGAGCACCGCACTTTGTATAAATTATAGTGATTTCGTAATGAATAAAAGTTGTCAGTTTTAACATGGAACTGAGCAAGTAACATGGTAGCAGTGGTTCTGGTTGATTGTTTCTCAACGGATATTTGCATATAGCGATCTAAAAGCCAAATTTTCTCCGGTTTAAACCAAGACGACTTCGAATACACCGTGTCTAGAATTCAAAACAACGGGAGATGAAAAGCACGACCTGGAAACCTACATCGAAGATATGATAGATTACTGTGTAATGCAAAATTGGTACGATATTTCGAAAGAAAGTGAAGCAGCCAAGTGGACGAATCACGATTCACGAATTGGGAAAAAATCAAATCACGATCCACGAGAGAAAAAATCGCCTGATCATGCTTCGCGTAAAAAGTATAAGGGACCCTCTTGTCAATCACGGAGGCAGATAGCGAGCAAGTTTAATTTATTTTATCAAACACCTGACATACCTGCATTTAATTTAGATCAAATCAGTCAAGCATTAATTTGGTTACTTTACAGATTTAAGAGGTTTTGAGTTCGTTTCTAACTTCTGTCAGATGAAATCAAGTACAATCCATGGAATTAAGCGAGTATTTTGTCATCAGCTCAAACACTTCCATTGCTTAACGTGAAAAACTGAAAAATAATCGACGTTGAACAATTACCAGACAGAATGATTAACGATCAGAGCTGATTGACGTCAGCACGATCAGAAACAGATTGTTTCTTTATTCTTTCCATTTCTACGAGAGCAGACCTTCCAACCCTCACGGTTTGACCGTGAGACTCACGGTTTGGGATGTCAACTCACGGTCTCACGGTTTTGCCCCTTAATCTCACGGTGAATCAGAAAGTTTTAAAATTGCCAAACAATTCCGGAAGGTATGAAGGAATAGCAAAAAAATCTGTGCTCATAACAGCCGAATCAGGCATCAAAACTAATTTGCGAGGGAAATGGCGCCAATGCTAGGCTCAGTCTCCAGTCGTGTCTTGTTGCGCCCAGGTTACTCACCGCTACCAGAGGATCGCGGGCGCACCAAGACACGGCCGAAGAATGAGCCCAATGCCAGCCTCATTCTAATGAAACATCGGTGCGCTAAGGTTTCTGGGAAAGCTTAACCATCGAACACAAATTTCAAAATGGCTACTCGTCGTCCAGCACACGAGAGTGAAACAAGTTCTCAAAATGACTCTGATACTTCGGAACCTCAGCCATCTACCGCGAAGAAAAGGAAACCAGCTACCCTTGGAGCAGCTAAGTATCGTACGACATTTAAGGTTGAGTGGAGCAATTTATATCCCGTGAAAGCAGTAAGAAACGACAAGCATTCTTTTTATTGTGTGCCTTGTCTCAAGACAATACGCTGTGACCACCAGGGTCTAAAAGACGTGAAAGATCATTGTAATACAGAATCTCACAAGTTATCGACGAAAGCAGCGAAAAATCAGCCATCAGTAGCGGGCATGTTTGGTTCAGGCGGTAGTGTTATACAAAGTGCAGTTACCAGAGCAGAAGTCCTAACAACAAATTTTCTGATCCAGCATAACCTCCACTTGCAACTTCAGATCACCTTGGGCCATTGTTTAGGGCAGTATTTCCAGACAGTGAAATTGCTAAGCAGTATGGATGTGCAAGAACAAAGACTATGGCTATCATCAATAAGGCTCTGGGACCACATTGTCACAGATATGTTGTACAGCACTGTCAGAAACATCCATTCAGTATTGGAATTGATGGGTCGAGTGATACAGATGTTGAAAAGATGAATCCAGCAACCGTAAGAATTTTCGATGTAGAAAGAGCCAAAACTGTTACATCTCATTTTTATCATATGTGTGTGACAAGTGGCCGTCAAAAGCAGAAACTCTTTTTGGTGTTGTCCAGGAAAAGTTAGAGACTGATGAAATACCATGGAATCAGGTTGTCAGCCTTTCAGTAGATAACACTAATTCAATGGTGGGTGCTCACAATTCTTTGGCATCCCACTTCAAAGCAAAAAATCCAGAGACCTATGTATTGGGATGTCCTTGCCATTTGGCGCACATTGCAGCAAGTAGAGCTCATGACGAATTTGCAAAGATTATAGGAATCAGTGCAGAAGAGCTTCTTATTGATCAGTATTACTGGTTTGATAAAAGCACAAAACGGAAAGGGATCCTACTTGAGTACATGCAGTTTTGTAACCAGGAGTATGGTAAGATACTGAAGCATTCTTCTACCAGGTGGCTTTCTTTTGCGTTCAACGCACACTTGAAAAGTATACTGGATTGAAGTCATACTTTTTGAGTGAAGATGCTGGTGATGCGAGATTCAAGAGGTTACAGAAAGCCTTTGAAAATCCACTCACAGAAGTTTCCCTGTTTTTTCACAATGCTTCCATCCCACTGTTTACAAATTTTAACAAACTTTTGCAGTCAGACGAGCCATCCATTCACATAGTTTATGACTCTGTCATAAAACTTGCAAATACTCTTGGAAATCGTGTTATCAAGGTGGAGGTCATGAAGAAACCACTTAATGAAATTAATTTCGATCCAACAATTTATATACCCCTTGCAGAAATTCACTTAGGAGGGACGACAAAGTTTACACTACAGAGGCTACTTAATCAAGGGGAAATATCTCAAACAGCCTACACTCGTTTCTTAACAGCAGCACATGAATATTTCAAGGCAGCCTTCCAATATGTTTTGAGCAAGTTTCCTATTACTGATGAGCTGCTGAAGCATGCAAGATGGATCAACGTTCAGAAACGTAGTCAGGCAAAATGGGAGAGTGTAGAATACTTTCTATCCAGGTTCAAATCAGCCTTGAACACTGTTAACATTGATGAGATGTATGATGAATTTCGTGATTATCAGTCTCTAACAGATGAAGACATTGGTGTGATTGCTTGGAAGGAAGCTAAAGTTGTTGATGGATTAGTTAATGATCAGGAAATTTTCCATTACAGAGTAGACATTCTCTGGTGGTACATGTCACAAATGGTAATTCCTGAATCCTCAGCAAAAAGATTTTGCCATCTTCAGAAGGTGGCAGAGCTGGTTGTACTTTTGCCACACAGTAATGCAGGGGAGGAGAGGCTGTTCAGCATGGTTCGCAAGAACAAAACAGATAGTCGGTCCTCCCATAAACTGGAGGGAACTCTATCGAATTTACTGGCAATGAAGTTGCAGTACCCAGAGGAAACCTCACCGTGTTTTAAGTTCAACCCTGATGAGAATCTTCTCAGCTCTGCAAAAAAGGCAGCGAAAGACTACAACAGAGAACACTGAGAAGGTAAGGAATACTCTGAAACAAATAATCTGTCGTCGTTTTTTTTATTTGACGCATATTTTTGAAGTCTCCAGGTTTGAGGTCCTAATCTCCAGGTTTCTCTAGGCTTTTTTTTTTAAAACCTCCAGATTTGCATGTGATGGGGGTTGGAAGGTCTGCGAGAGTATTCTTTCAAAAATTCCCGTTAAGGCCATCTTAACTCACAATCACTGTTTTCCTTTTCCCTGTTGCTGAGAGTGTTTAACTTTAACCCGTCTGTTGCAGAAGGCCGACTGAACGCGCCTTTGTTTTACTTTATCAAAATCGTTTTGTCTTTGTGCTCTGCATTTGACGGGCGTCGCTACAGTTGTAATAGATCAAAAACCCAAAAACTTAGAATACAAAGGGAAACCAGCGAATATTGAAGATATCAGAGAGTTTGAGTGAACTGACAGAAATGACGGCAGAGGCACTTCAGGGCAAATGACTTCAGTTCGATCGAGCGGAGAGTGTGAGTTCTTAGCTGAATTATCTATGTTCGCGTTGCAGGAGTCTAGCGAGGCTACACTTTACAAGTGAGCTAAATTCTTATCTATATTGAACAGAATTCTTACCTCTCAGCAGTGTGAACAACAACTGCAGCTGACAAACAGAAATGAACTACAGATGGTAGACAAACAGACAGTTTAGCTCGGTATGGACACTCCTTAATTAAGGGCCTGTTTACATGGAGTTACCATGCCGAAAAGAGCATGACGCATAAACAGTGAATGATTATGCAAAAAGTTGCACTATGTAATTGTCACCATCGCACTCGCACAGCACGCACACCCATGCGATTAGCATAAGCACGAACACCGCACTTTGTATAAATTATAATGATTTCGTAATGAATAAAAGTTGTCAGTTTTAACATGGAACTGAGCAAGTAACATGGTGGCAGCGGTTCTGGTTGATTATTTCTCAACGGATATTTGCATATAGCGACCAACCAGCCAAGTTCTTGGTAAAGTTTCCGCACAGCCCCATACTTCATTATGCATTCAGTTCTTGAATAGAGAAAACAATGACTAAAACAATACATTGCCATTGGGAAAACAAATTTGTTTTACAATAGTATGAGGCTGTGCGGAAATTTTACCAAGTTCTCTCCGGTTTGAACCGGTTTGAACCAAGCACGACCTGGAAACCTACATCGAAGATTTGATCGATTACTGCATAATGCAAAATTGGTATGATACATCGAAAGAAAGCGAAGCAGCCAAGTGGACTAAGTCTGATAAAGCTATGGCATGCCTCAGGGCATCTTTATCTCCTGCGGTTAGAACGGTGTACAAATATAGTCTGGGTCGAACACAGGCAGCCCAAGCTCCAGCTGTGAGATAATCATCTTACGAAATAACCGTCATGGCGAAATTGTAAGAGTCTGTATGGGAATATTTACGACCGCTCTAGGGAATAAAAAAATAGGTCAAATTCTCACAAAAAATACCTCACCTTACTTCCACAGTGCATTGCCTGTTATCTGACCGCTTACTACGCTGAAGAGAACCCATTTTAGCGAGTTATCTATTTCGAGGTTTCCTACGTACATAAGAAAAGAGGGTCTCCAATAGGTTTCTTCAATCCCGCGATCCCGACTAAAATTTTCTCTCAATCCCGTAATCCCGATGGTTTATACCGGCGAATCCCGATCCCGTTCATAATTTTTTTTCTAAGTCCAATACCTCAACTTAAAAGGGCCTACTATTTAAGAGCGCTTGTCTGTAAAAATCAAACATATCGCGGCAAGGGTGGAAAATTCGATTTCTCTCTTATTTTAATGTTAGATAGGCTAGGCTATAACTAAAATCCCTGGATACATTTTTTAGCAAATTATCTTTTTATTTCAGAGAAAAATACAAATAACGAAATTCCGTTAAAATCGTCATTTTTAGCAGCAAATTACTGCACGAGTTTGAAGGCTTCGCGTGCAAAAACGAATCACTATCTCGTCTTTTAAACACTCAAATCTTCTTTCTCGATCTCATAAGACCTCACAAAATGATTTTCGTAAACATTTCGCTCTTCTTTGCGCTTAAAATAATTTAATTTCGAAAGCATGCATTTCTCTTCAGTAAAAATACGTCGTGAATAAAATTAATTTTCACCATGTGCTAAACCTTCAAATGGATTAAGCTTTTGGTGGTTGAATTTCGAAAAGATTTCTCAATATAACCGTAAAAATTTGTTTGGGCAAATGATTGAGAGCGATACAAAAGTTTTTCAAAGTCCGTTAAAATGCAGTTATTTGACCTTTTGCGGTCAACATTCCAGTCGCGAGTCACACATATTTTAATATGTTTCAACCCATAGGAGGCCGAAAAATGTACATAGAAAGATATTTCCAAATGCTCTAACCTCATTTGCCGCAGAAGACCGAACCAGAGACCATTTTAGAGTGATTATCTTGTCGTTCGTCGTTTTAGGTCTGTATAAATGATAACGTCCGATGAAACCACCAACCCTGTCGAACACCATCTTGTTGTCAAACGTTCGATATCTTTCTTCACTGTGGCATCTTATTCAACGGTTCAGTTGACTGCGAGTATTGCTCAGTTTACAATGCACTAAAAGATTACATCTGACAGTCTAATTCAATGCTAAACTGAGTTGACTACAAACATGTACGCCTTTGAGTATTTGGGTTGTCACGCAATACCGGTGACAGGAACTTTAGGGGATAGGTGAAGGGCAAAACTCCATATAATTAAGCACTATCAGAATTGAACTCTTGGAACCTAAAAAATATTTTATTCTGTAAACATTTTTGTAATAGTGTCATCTTTGTCTGGTGACAAACAGTAAAATACATTTATTTATTGCAGGGAATTATTCTTGTTTTTTTGGCGCTCTGTGCCTGTCGTACCTATTAGGGGTGTTTTTCTTTACACTAAAATTGCAAGGAATACCCTAATAGCATGAAAGAGAACCTTTTGTACATTTTTACAACACCATGCTACAAAACGCAGTGGTGGGGATGTGTGGCTTATGTGAGGCTTGGGTGCTATGTTCCGTGGCCAATGGGTGGGGCTTGCATAAGGGAGTGGTACTATTAACCACTGTTAACAGACCAACTTCCGTTTAAAACCTTAAACTACAGAGGGGCCGACATATGTGCGCTCGGCAGAAAATAAGGTCGATCTCATCTTCAGGACCGGTAAATTTGAAAGCCAACTCATGACTTGCGATATTCTTGGTGCATAAAAGTAAAGGAACAATTTCCGTTTCACACATTCGATCTCTAGTGTTGTAACCACAAACTCCGCCAATAAGCGACTTGAACGAACAACAACCTTCCATTTTTTATGTAACAAAGTTGACGGTGTAAGTTAGTGTATTTGTGAAAAACAAAGTCCGAAGCCCCGCCTCTGAGCGAAGAAAAGGCATCGTGTAATTATCATAAACCAGGTTTTGTTTACTTAGGCTTACTATTTTTAGCAGGTACTGAATTTAGCTTTTCAACGAGTATTGGCCAAAGGCCCGATCTCCGCGACTTACATGAAGAGATTTTGATGTTCACAACAATAAAGAAGCTTAGCAGCAGAGTGACGTCTTTTTACTTTCCCCTTCCCCTACCCCCTAAAAAATAACTTTCCATTGCATGATTTGCATTGCGTGACGACTCTCCGTATACAAAACTACGTTGACTGCAACATATGTGTAGTGCCACTTTTAAAAGCATCGCTCAGATCTACTGCACCACAAACCGAACAACGCTCACAGTCAACTGAACCGCTGGATAAGATGCCACAGTGCAGAAAGATGTCAAAAGTTTTACAACGAAGGTTGGTGACAGTTGGCAGATTGACAGGCAGTTTCATCGGAGCGACAAGATAACCACAGTAAAATGGTCTTTGGATCTTTCTTATACAGCAAATGAGGTAAGAACCTTTTTGAAATGTGTACCCATGTACATTTTCCGGCCTCATATGGGTTGAATCATATTAAAGTATGTGTGTGACTCGCAACTGGAATGTTGAACGCGAAAAGTCAAATAACTGCATTTTAACGGACTTTGAAAAGCTTTCGTATCGCTCTCAATCATTTGCCCAAAGAAATTTTTACAGCAATATTGAGAACATCTTTTCGTAATTCTACCGCCCAAAGCTTAATCCATTTGAAGGTTTAGCACATGCTGAAAATTAACTTTACTCACAAAGTACTTTTACTGAAGAGAGATGTATGCTTTTCGAAATATTTTACACGCAAAGAGGAACGCAGTGCTTACAAAAATCGTTTTGTGAGGTCTTATGAGGTTAAAAAAGAAGATTTGAGTGTTGAAAAGACGAGATTGTGATTCGTTTTTGAATGCGAAGCCCTCAAACTTGTGCAATAATTTGCTGCTAAAAATGACGATTTTAACGGAAAATTTTCGAATTTTTCACACTTGCCGCGAAATTTAGAATTTGTCTGATTTTTACAGACAAGCGCTCTTAAGTGATATTCTTAACTGCAAGGATCGCTTTCATATTTGTTTCTTCAACCGCAGTTCATATCATATATTTGCAGTCATTTACTCACCACTTGGAGGGTTTACTTAAAACCAAGAGAATGACCAGCTCAGCGTGTAGAACGCTGCACCGGTATCGCAAAGGTGATGGGTTCTAATCCCGCACGGGCCTGAATTTTTCTCAGGTCTTATTTTTACTGCTATTTAAGTAGTATTCATAACTGCGAGGATCACTTTCATAATCATTTCTTCAACCGCAGTTCACATACTGGTATATATGATTTTCATATATTTTTTAGTCATTAAAGGGGCCTTTTCGGTGAGTGATGATTTTCTCAACCAGTATTGATCCGTTGAAATCTTTGCTCACCGTCAGGCGTAAGTTTTTTTCACTAAAACGGTGTTACTGTTCGTTTTAGAAGTTTTCGAAGTTTTGCACGAATAACGTACGCTAGTCACAGTCACGACTTCCTTCTGTTTAACTTCGATCACGGAAAAGCGTATTAGTAAAGACAGGTCAGTAGCAAAGAGACGAATAGCAATGTCAACAAAAGCATAAAAAAAACAAAAGGTGACAGCGATCCCATGTGCTATGATTGGTCAAAATAGCGCACTCAATTACACTAAATTTCTAGCTAAATTCAAAAGTTTATTTGAATTGATATCTCCCACCCTTCATTTGAACCCAGAGATGCAAAAAAAGAATCTTGGTTACCTTCTTTTATTGGTCTGTATCGAGCCGAGCCACTACCGCTATCGACAGAACACATTATAGACTTACTGAATCGTTGCAGCTTAACGTCAACTTACTTTCAGCACAACGGTAAACACTACAAACAGTTACGCGGTACAGCTATGGTGTCTTCAGCTTCCGTTGTTGTAGCAGAAATTGTTAAACGTTAAAGTGAGAGACAAAACCAAGAACCACACTGTAAACCAAAAGCAAGCGAAGAACAAAACCAGAATTAGACACAAAAACAAGTGAAAGGCAAAAGAAAAGTTCGAGATCAACATAAATAAACAAGAACCGGGAACAAAAAAAAAAATAATAATAACCATAAGCCTGATTGCAAAGCCGTTACGAACGAATCTTATATTCGACCACACTCCATGCCAAAGGGAATATTACCAGCGTCGCAACCCGAGGTACGTCTCGTTTCTCCTACGCAATCGGCACCGTCATTTTTCGGTCTTGGGAGCAATCTCTTTCTCTGTATCGAAACGGCAACAAATTGCCATCCGATGGGATCTGGCAAGAACTCCAAGCAAACCAAGAGCTCCAGTTTCCGTCAATAGGTTTTGGTTTATCGCCCCAATTAGGCCAAGGCCATACACCAACACTTTGATGTACAAAAATAGATAAAATCATGAACAACTGTTCCTCATGTCGCACACACATGGCGATCGTAATCGTTCAGAAAAAATCCAAATAAAGTCCAGACGAGTTTCACCAGTCTAGAAACGAATTAGGTCTATAATCCTTGAGGAACAACAAAACGTAATCGGATAAACACTGAAGAGGCCTTCAGCGCTCAAATCGTTGTTTACCAATGTCGGTGTTTTTTTTAATTGCGGATACAAAAACGTATAAAATTTGAGACGATGGATCCGGGACTTCCGGTTTTAGCCCAGTTCATTTCCGCTTTGTAGCCAATTAGTACCCAGGATGCATAGTGCGCTTGTAAGAATGGCGGATAAAGCAAGACGAAAGTGCATCTGAAATAATGAGCTCAAACGGAAATGATTAATGAAGAATCTCGGGCTTGACGAAGCCTCTTGTGGAATGTAAAACAGAGGTGAGATTTTAAGCGACACATTGTGTTCAGTACGCCTAAGTAGCACTTGTAGTTAACACAAGTAAGTTCGTTTTAACAAAGTCAGGTTCAACATGTAAGACTTGGTTATGAAATGCCGGTACATGTAGTTGCTAAGGTTTGTAGCTAGGGACTCATCTAGTGTATACTCACATTTATTTCTGTAAGCATTGCTCGTATTAATCTTAGCCGTGACAAATTACCCAATCGGAAAGTTATTTGAAACCTAGAATAAAAAATTGCATGGAAGGCACACAAGGTTTGGTTTGTTTATTTTTAATTAAGCTTAAATAATGCTAAGGAGTTACGTTTGTTTTTCTCCGCGGCAAAATAGCGATTACACGTAGTTGCTGCTTAAAATGAATTTTTCAGGACAAAATTATCTTCAGGTTTCTTTTGTTATCGTTTTTTGCCTTGTTTTGCTTTGTTGTGTTTCGATTTACCTTCCAGCAAAGTGCAACTTATGATTAAATTAATCAAGTGTAGAATAGATTCTTTGGTTCACCACTGAAAGGAAATAAGCAAAGTTTTAGTGAAAGACATATTTCTTTTTGATGACAGCTTAGCAAATGATCACAGTGTGATAAAGGTTTGATAAAAGTATTGTTGAAGATCAGCCACATGTCAGCTGTTAAAGCACTATGGTGGTGTGATCTCTGGGAAGATTTCTTTGCCACTGCACTTTAGGATTACAGAGAGTAACTTAACTGTTCAATAAGTGTCTTCTTCTGAGTTTCAAATTTGGCAAAGGATACAATTTTGCCTCCTAATATGACTTACTTAACCCTTTACACCCTAACATCAGTATGCATATTCTCCTTACTGTTCTTTATATGATTCCTAAGGTGCTGACAAGGAGAATTTGGTTACTGATCAAAAGCTTCTTTCATTGATGATCATTTCCTTTATTCTCATGACCTTGATGTATGATTCAGGAGTGATTCTGTAATGAGAAATTAGATGCTTGTCACTCCTAATGTTTAAAGGGTCAAAGAAAAGAAGGAAGCTATAAGAAATAAATGAAAAGTACTGTTGCTGCCAAAAATCACATTGACTTAATTAAATTTGTATACATTTTGTGTTTCCATTGCATTTTCATTAAGTTCTTTTGTTTTCAAGTCTGTTACTTTCTTCAATTTTCTGTTACTTTTTTTGCTCAATTTACCTATGTTTGTATCATTCATATAAGTTCTTTACTGTAAATTTTATTCATTCTGATTTATAGTTTAACTTTGCTGGATCATTTTTCTGAATGGCATTAAATGGTTCTCTATTGTCTTTAATCAGGATCTTGTACAACATTTGTTTGTGTCTTTTGTTCTCCTTTATTTTGTTTTCTTGTTTGTTTATTTCTGAAAAAACTTTTATTTGTAGTTTTATTTTAGCAACCACTTTGATTATTCACCTTGCTTTGATTCTTCACTTTTTTTGTTTTGTTTGGAAGGATATTAATCCTTTAACTCTTAAGATCTCATTAGTAATTCTCCTTCCTGTCTGCCATATAGTTCTTGTGATGTTAATTTGGAGAATTTGGTAGTGGATCAACTAATAATCCCCTAATTAATATTTTTCTTTATTCTCATCACTTGTCTGCTTGATATTGTAATGACATTGTAAGGAGAAATTCTGTCTTGGTCACTCATGGGAGATAAAGGGTTAAAAAGCGTGTTTCTTTTTGTACCATTACAAGTAATTTTGGCCATCACAAGCACCTCTGAGACTGTGATTCCCACTAACCACAAAATTTGCCTTTTTTTCTCTTTTATTTATCTTTTTAAACCAATGATGCTGTTGTTTTCTTCCACTTATCAACATTTGCTGAGCAGGTCTCAGACATCTTGCTGTTTTCCCTCAGTCTATAATTTTCCCATTCACCTGCATACCTGCTTCTTGATATATATTGATCATAAGATATTACCCAATTAATCTGTCCTGAAGTGATGTTTAATTTTGGTTGCCTACAATTCTAATTTTTTTTTGCTCAGTATATAATGGATGACAACCCAATTGGTAGCCTTTGACAACCCATGCCTTTTGTTGGAGAAAGAATTCTTATGCCAGAGAGGTTTATGTTATAAATTACAGCTTCCCTCTTTCTGTGCCAAATGGAGGCTATTATGTTTATTATCCTTTAAATACTTTTCAACACATGGGAAAAATGTTTATGAACAGCTTACTGTTTATGGTGTGGGAGGTTCACTTTTCAGTGTTCTCTGAAATGATTTTATGAGCAAAAGAAACATGTTCCTTCTTCTGTATCAACAACACAACCCTTTTCATCTTGAATTAAATCTTAAACACAGAGTTTTCCATTTTGGATGTGAGGTTTGAAGATTGGGAAATATCTCGAGGTATATCCTTGGACATCCCCCAGTTTTTAGGTAGAGGATATTCTGTCATGTGATGGGTTTAGACCAATTGCAGACAAGCAAATATATATGTTGGATTATACTGGCATTTATTGATCATGAATAATTTATTGTAAAAGTAAGGTAGCTGAAGTATTGTAAGTATAATGTGTGGTGTTGTAATTAAGAGTTTATAAAATATGAAAAACAGAGAGAAACAAAGACAGAAACCAACTTAGGCCACTGCAAAATACAAGAAACCAAATTGCTGTTTTTGTCTCTAATTGCTTGATTAGATAGTGTTAATATTTTAGTCAATCACAGACCAAGGTCATGGAAAAGTTTAGAAATATTATATTGTTTTTAGGCTCAATCAAATTTATAAATAGCACTGTGTATAATGAGTAAAAAGATCATTATAGCATTCAAATCTGTCCCAAATTGTCTCCTCTTAACCAACTACCTGAAATCTTGATCCTTTTAGCTCCAAGATCTGAGAATTGACTCACTCAACTGAAAACCTTACTCAGTTTGTTTTAGGTGTTGCTGGGAATATGCCTGAGATTGTTTTAACCCTTTAACTCCTAGAAGTGATTCACATGTAACTTCTCCCTACAATATTCATCCACTATCCAACAAACAGGTAATGAGAGTATTCAAATGTATCAGGTAGAAGTTTTTATCTTGATCTAACACCAAATTCTTACAACTAATTTACATGGAAATGTGTAGCAGCTAGAGAGGAGAATTAACAATTAGATCCTAGGAATTATAGGGTTAATGCTCAAACAAAAATTTTTCTTCAAGTTCTTTTAAATATTTTATTTTCCTAATTGTTGTTGTTTTTTTTTCAGGCCCTTCTTTATGGAAGCTGTGTGTCCCAGAAAGACAACATTACCAAGCATGCCTGTGATAAGGAGTTTCAAGCACTTAAAGACTGTATAAGACAAGCAGTAAGTTTTCTGGTAGACTGATCAGGCTCTCTTTTCTTTCTGTGTTTAATTAGCTTGGATATCATGTTAGTTTTAAACCACAAACTCAATTGTCATGACAAGATAGTCAAATGGGGGCACAAAAGTGTCCTTTCAGAGAGTGGGGTGATAAAAAAGAAAGCCTTTGCTTTATCATGCAACATATTCTTCGGCTTAGTTGTCCAGAGTTTGTTTCAGTTCAAACTTTGTTAAACATAAGCAGTTAATGACTGGCTTCAAGGGATACAGTGAGTTTTCTTTTCCCAACTGAAGCCAAAGGGGGCAATCAGGGTCAAATAAAAAATGGCTTTTGAGTTGGGAGGTATAACGTTTTTTTTTAAACAATTGCAAAAGAATTTGTAGTACTTACATACTTAAACATGTACTCTCAAACTAACTCTTATACTCTCAAATTAGTCAGCTTTAATCAGAATTAATCAGGTTCATCCTTTTATCAGTGGGTACTGTCCTACAGTGAGAGAGGGATGGGGTTTAACTTTTCCTTGTCAAATTGTTGGTGTCTTTTTTATTATTTTCCTCCTGATTTTAATTAACAGTCATCAGCAAAAATTAGGGACTGAAGATAAATAAGAGACTACAGCAAGTCACTCAGACATAGGACTGCTGTGCTTTTTCTACTTAAATTCAAATACTACCTACCTAAAATAATGTAATAATAATCATTATATACTGAAACAAAATGTTTCATTCCTGATTAGTCTATTGTGAATGAATTGAAAAATAACTTATTAAGTGCAATACAGGATTTCCATACTACACACTGGCTTGAAATTAAAGCTTTTAACCCTTTCACTTCCAAGATCTGATTGTTAATTCTCCCCTCTAGCTGCTACACATTTCCTTTTAAATAAGTTACAAGAATTTGGTGTTAAATCAAGAAAACAACCTCTACCTGATAAGTTTAAGTATTCTCCTTACCTCTTTGCTAGATGATGAATGGATTTTATAGGGAGAAGTTACATGTCAATCACTTCTGGGAGTTAAAGGGTTAAAGAGAACTAAACAACAATAAACTTTTTAGTAGTTAAAAGAAAACATTAAAATTTGATGTGTCCATCCTCCTCTGCATTCTAATGAATGATCAAATCAAACAATATAATTATCTTAAGGCATTTTCCAACTGGTTGAAAATGTTTTGAGAAATGTGCACCAGGAATGTACAAAGAGCAGTATTTGTATGAGGTTTTGTTTAGAACATATCATACATAAAAACATATTAAACAGCTCTTACATTTCATAATTTATGGTTACTCATTATATGTTTAAATAAAGTTTTCCAAAAAGCACTCCAATGGCTAGTTCATTCACCAAAGCTTTGTAAACATCACTGATGCCTTTTAATTAAGAGATTTACTTGAGCTCATGAGATTTCCCTCACAAATACATGTGTGATTAAATTAGATTCACAGAATTGATTGATAGAAAAAGAAATGAAATTCATCATATTTGGAAGATGATGCTCATGTAACTGTTATGCTGTTACATACATTTCCCATCTGCTCCCCTGTGCTCACATGTGCCAATTCCTGCAAGAACACTCTGTCAGCCAAGGAAATCGTAGAAGCACAATGATATTCTAGAATCCTTAATCTATACACATGCATTCCCTATTGTCTGTTTTTAACCCTTTACACTCTAACATCAATATATATGCATATTCTCCATACTTTTCTCTGTGTTCTGACAAGGAGAATTTGCTCAACAATCAAGAGCTTTTTTTGTTAGTGATCATTTCCTGTATTCTCATGACCTTAATGTTTAATTTAGGGATGATATTGTAAGGAGAAATTAGTTCCTTGTCACTTTTTGGGGTTTGAGGATTAGAGAAAGTTAATGTTCAAATTATAGAAAACCTGGTGTGCCTGGCCTTTTTGTTTACTCTGCAACAAGATGTTAGTAAAATAGGGATTTTTATCAATTTAAAAAATATCATGTACTATTTTAATTTTTTATCTCTCTAAAGATTTCCTCTTGTTTGATGATGTATTTTTGTTGCAGGCAAAGAAAATTAAAGTGTAGAGACTTGAAAAGAGAGAACAACTGCACCTGTTGCTGCAAAGTTTAGGAACAGAAGATGTCACAGGGAACCCACTCACTTTTTGTCTGGGATAAAAAATGTTGTAAGGAGACATTTAGGCTTGTGGAAACTTAAAAAGAATGTTATGGAAGTCCCTGTGCTCATTTTGAGTGTCACGATTTTTATAGTTTTTAAATTTGTTTTGTTTTTTCAGGTACTTGGAAAAGCTAACATCACTGTAGAATGGATGAATTAAAAGCAAATTATGGCTAATGTGAACTGTGTTAGACTTACTCATACTGAGTATAAAGCTTATTCTAAAATGGTGACCATTCTATGATTCCATTTTTAGTCACCCCACATATGTTAATGTCATTTCCTGTGTACATTTCCAGCTTTTAAAATGTGAGACTTTAT